GAACCCTAGTGCTGACAGGAATGATTGACCAGTTTTCAGATTGATGCGATAATTTTCTTTGGGTGATACCAAAGACCCTTCCTTTTACTTTGGTGGCTATATTTTATCCTGGTGGCTCTGGGTGACTGTCCTGTTGTATTAGTTGATAGCTGAGACTGAATTGCTGTTTTATTCCAGCTTTGCCAGATGAAGTTGTATGTGATCAGCTTCCCTAAGAATCCCTGTATAGCTGCAGTTCACCAAACTTTCTGCAGTCTCAGGCGCTGATAACAGACTTGCCTGTGAGTAGAAACGATTAAGTACTTAAGTCCTCACTGTGGGTACTTACTTGGGAGTGAACTGTTTTTTGGACTGCTTTTCAGAAGTATCTGAAAAGGTTCTAACTTTCCAGTTTGATGCATGTTGGGGTACGTTTGAAAGTAAAATTATTGTACATCTTTTTTGATGTGGCTATAAAATATATGTGTTCTTTATGGTCTATGTGCTGCATAAGCGCTAGGTGCTGTGTAGAAATAGTACTGTTACCACTCTTTCAGCTTTACTAAAAGGTATCTTGGATTTCTAGAAAGCCAGAGGTGAGGGAAAGAAGTGGGACAAAATTAAAATGGAAGGAGCTAAACAAAGTAACACAGTAAAGCATGTTATCAGCATTAGAAGTATTTTTGGACTTTGGTAAACATTCCATGTAATGAATTTAAGAAATAGACCTCTGCATACTATGTGACAGTACCACCAGCTGCTTGGTAATGTAATGAATTGATCCTGTCATAAAAGTGCTTGGCTAATTGCATGGAGAAGTCTTGTGAGTAGACTCAGAGAGTTCATTTGCTGTCCTGTTGAGTTCTGTGCAATATGCTGGTGTGCTTAATCCTTCCACTAGAAGCAGGGATTGTGATCTGAATGGCATTCATGGACAGTTCTCTATATAGTACAATATATAGAGAGGATCTCTATACAGACAATAGGAATTCCTGCACTCAGGAATTTCTAGGCTCAAGAAGTCATCTCGAGCCTGCTTTTTTGGGGTCAACCTTTCAATAAGCTACACTTCAACCAGAACAGATGCCTATGAAGATACCACCATCTTCTTTTATTGTTTTTCTCCTTTTGCTAGGGATTACTCTCCCAAGTAATTCTTAAGACTCACATAAAACTTCCTAATAAACTTCTGGCAAAATCTGAGGAGCTGATTCAACCCCCCTAAATAAATATAAAGCTAACCTCTCCAGCTAGTGTTGTCTTTTGCACAGATTAGGGAGTACTCATTTTAAGCAATCCATCAACTGGTTTCTGAGGATGATTCTTTATAGTTAGTGGATGGAGGTCAGCAGCAGTGATGGCACCATTTTTAACAGAGCTTGCCCTGGAAGAAAGAGGTGGTCTATATACTAGTTCTACATTATGATTTATGATCAGAATGATAAACTTCCACCCCCATGGAAACTCATTTCAAAACATCAGCTTAGCATCCACTGAGGCTTTTTTAGGCAAGGTAGACCATATTGCATGCTATCAATTTGGACTATAGCTGTTGTTTTGAGTTTAAAACAGGCCCAGCCAATAGCTGTCTTTTTCTCCTCCTTTCCAGTTAATTCATCATAACTACAGATAGTAATAAACTCAACTGCATGTTAGTAATGTGCACCCATAAATACACATACTAGTGATGACACTGCTGACTACCAAAATTTTGACTCAGAAAATATTACTTCAGCTTTTTTCCTTGAAGAAACAGAAATTTAGCAGAAAGTAAAAATTTTCACTGGGAATTTGTGTGAGTGTGGGGAAATCCAGATATTGTCTCTACACATATGCAGGAAGATGACTACTATACATTTTCTACTAGGGATAGTTTTGATAGTTGTAGCTTTATAGTATGCTACAGTCACCTGTTGTTAAAAAACAAGTGTTAAGTGACTTTCAGTGACTTAATGACACTTATCAAAAATTTCTTAGGTTTTTGAAATCAATGAAAGTAAATTTCTATTTTCGTATCTACGTAAAAAATCCTTTTCAATTGAAAAAAAAAGGGCTATTCCCATGTCTCTGAAAACATCAAAAAAAGATCTATTTGTGTTTTTAATCAATTTCCTTATAACAGCATGACAAATTGTCCAAGATCACACGAAGTAATAGATATGATTGAGAAAGGCTTTAAAGATGTCTATTACTACTGCTTTAACAGCAAAACATGCAATAAGGAACTACACTTCCTTCTCAGTACCTGTTTTTTTTTTTTATTACTTACGGATTTCATATGAAGTAGAGGAAGTTTTTCTTGGCCAAACTAAAAAGAAAATTAGATTTCTGAATGGTGATGCCACTAAGTGTAAAGCAAATATATCAAATTTAAGATAAGAAAGGATAATGGTAACTGATATGTAAAAGACTGGTATTTTCCTTCATATTTATGGTTCAAGAGTGCAGTACTTTAAATGACTCTTGCCTTCAATGGGCATCACAAGTTCTTAGTATTTCTACCAGGAAATTCTAAAATATATCAGATTGAAATAGACAGAATGACTAAAAGTATTTTCAAACTTATGGGTTAAATGTTTAGTATTACAAAAGCAGAAATTTAGAAATAACAACAATAACTCAAGTGGAGTGCCTCTATCTTGTACACATACAGAAAGAAAAAGAGTAAAGATACATACATATTTATATATATTCACACAGACCCTTATATACTTATTACAGAATATTACCTATAGATGAGTTACAAAGTGATTTTCTTTTATTCTACACAAGTACTTTTTAATGTGCTCATTTAGTCATGTTCAGACATGATGCGAATGCAAACTACATATGGAAATACAACTGTCAGCTTTTAAATTCTACCTGTCCCTGCCTTGTCCATTATTACTGCATAGCAGTGCTAGTCTGAACAGTATGACACAGAATGAGACAGTACACCAGATCTAATTGCCTCGTCATTCTGTAGAGATTTTCTGTTGGTGCTGATTTTCTAGAAGGTCTTGCTGTTATTCAGCAAAACCAACACGATAGAGGTGCTTTGGCACTCATCTTGTCTGAACCATTTATGTGTCTGTGAAGTATATATGAAGTGACAGATGGTAGTACCTCGCTGGATGACATTCTGCTCTCAGGTTCATCTGTGAAGAGCAAATCAGACTTTCCATTGAAAAATAATGATTTTTTCCTCTAGGCAATTTCTGCTTTGTGTGCTCTGTAACCATTGCAAATGATCTGTTCGTTTTGTATATTTCAGCTCGTAACTACTCTAACATTTTCAAAGCAAACATGTGACAACTTGACTCTATTATAGTCAGCTGTCATTCTAGTTTTTTTTGTATTAGAAATTGAATTGAGAGCTTTACATTTGGAAAAAAAATGTTTACATATATTAAAAAGAGTTTGTTGCCACTCACTACTTACTTTATGCATCTTTATAGAAGGTCAGAAAATAATACACAGTATGTGTAAGTTGCTGAAAGGATTTCATGTGGTCTGGGCAAGACACAATATCATCAAAACTTACATACTCCCATTAAATCTAGCACAACCACAATAAATATGTTTTCTCAAAGAAAAAAAATAAACCCCATGCCCACCCCTAATCTCTGCTGAATAGATTAGGTATTAAGAGCATAAAAACCTGAAGTCTTGGCTGAATTCAGGTCATGTGTGTCCTCCCATGCATGTTAGCCACAGCCCATCTGAATTCTCAGTTATAAACTCAGAATCTTTTGTGCTCCATGGATCTGACCCGAATCCTGCTCTACTTAATGGACTGTGATCAGTTCTACAGAGTTCTTATGTTGTTTAAGTGCTTGAACTCCACTCAAAAGGCAGGTAGTGTGTTGTCACAAACTGGGATCAGTGAGACTAAGCAGGTAAGGCAGCTTGCTGTCTACACCATGCGTGTTCCAGAGAGTTTTAGTTTGAATTAGCGCTATCTTGCCTCCATGCGTCTGAATGCTCATTAGAGGATGGAGTGTACTAGGCACACTCCTGAAACTCATCTTCTGGTTTACTTTCATTTACTATTAGCTGTCAGTCTGCTCTCCCTGCTGTAACTTGTGGTCTTCTTGCAAGGTTTCAGCTATGTTCTTCAATGTACATTGTTGTGTTAACTAAAAACCCCAGGTCTGGAAATATTTCTGGCAAGTAATTAGTGACAGCAGTAGGTCATCAGTGCTGTTTGTAGTGCAGCATAGAGGTCTAAAAGTCATTAAATCATTTGTCCTCTTAGATGTTGCTAGTTACCAAATGGGTATGTTACAAGGAAGGTTTCAGATAAAACTGTAGCTTGACATTAACAATTAAACATAACAAGCAGAAAGAAAGAACAGAAAAAGCTGAGATGGTTATATCACCAAGTGCTCTAGAAAACAGCAGTTGTTGAGATTACAATCCATTTTTTGTGTATTTGCAACAAATCTGGTTCTAAAACAAATGGCCAAACTATCTGCACTGTTTATTAAAGTTACCCTGTGACTCCTTTAAATACACTCTCTGACTTGACAGTAATTCTTACTGGAGTAATTCTTACTCCACTGCCCAAATATTATTTTAATCAGCTAGCAATTTGTTGATTCACATTAATATTTCCAAATGCAGAGTGCTCAGCCAGCAGTTACTGCTCTGCAGAGCTGCCAGTGTCTAATTGTTTCTGGCAATGGTGACTGCCTTTTTTAGGCCCTTTATTTATTTATTTTTTTTGTCCCCCTCAACTGGCGTTTCAGAGCAGCAGCCTTCACAATGCATTAGCTTAATGCATGTTGAGCTCAACCAAATCTTCTGTTCCCACTACTGCTGCTATTTGTCTACTAATCTACTTGGAATCAGCATGCAGTGTAAATGATTTAGACATATGAATAAATAAACATTTAAATATCCATATCCTTGCAATAGCAAAACCAGATAAAATGTAATGTTTAGAACAGTACATTGCTACAGACACTGATTTGGTAAGCAAATGGATTCACATTTGTAGGCTGTTGTGTCACAGTTTAGGGAAGTGAAGGGTAACTTACTTGAGCATGTCAGTTTGACAGACATGTAGTCTCTTTCACAGTCCTTCTTACAGCAACAGAGCAACCAGTTTAAGAGGCAGAGCCTGTCACCACACTGTAGTTCTTCTTTTCTGCCACAAGGCAGAATGCTCTGTTCATCTGAAAGGAGGAGAAACAATGACTTTGATGTAAATCATGAAGATGACTTTGTGTAGAGAACTCCTTCCAGAGCAACAAAACCACAAGTCAGCTTAAAGTTAATCTTCCTGCTTCTGAAACCCCTGTCTGGATCAAGACATCTCTGTCAGATTTAAAAGGGTCTCAGACTCAAACAAGTATTTCCTATACTGTTGCTGCTGATAATTTAAATAGTGTTCAAGACAGGTGAGGCCTAGGTGAAGCACATCAAAGAACTCACAAGGGTACCACATTTCTGAGGCACCTAGCCTTCTGACTGACTTACATGCTTTAGAATCCAAACCAAAACAATTCATCTTTTCCTCAGCTTAACAAACAAAATGGATAAATTAGAGGAAAAAAAGGCAGATCTGGTATCTTGCATAAACCTGAAGGACTTAGCTGTAAGTATAACTGTCTCACAACCACTTTCCAGTTTGTCATCTAAGGGTGGGAGCTCAGGCTGATACAGTAGGGAAGGATTTTTTGAATAATCTTAATAAAACCTTGGGCAATTTTCTGGAGACAAACTCAGGTTTGGCTTGAAGAGACATTAAATTCTATATAGTGGGGTCTGCAGCAAGCCAAATCTTTGACTGTCTCCACAGTCGTGGCCACTTCCCAGGACTGCTGTTGATTCTAGAACGCTTAGTAGAAAACTGAATCACTTCTCTCTGCCTGGAGATGGGATAAAAAAAAGAGTAGTTTTATCTTGTTCTTTGGTGGTGCCCAATGGTTTCTTTTCTATTTATGCATACATATAAACAGAAGTTTCCTACTCTCAAAGGGAGAGATGATACCAGCCTAAGCCCTGTAACTTGTGGGGCACTGGAACAGGTTGCCCAAAGAAGCGGTGTTGAACACTCCATCGCTGGCAGTGTTCAAGGCCAGTTTGGACAGAGCCTTGGATGACATGGTCTAGTGGGAGATATCCCTGCCCATGGCAGGGGGGTTGGAACTGGATGATCTTAAGGTCCTTTCCAACCCTAACGATTTTATGATTCCATAATTCTGGCTTAAGAAAAGCAGAGTTTCAGCCTATGCCGATATTCACATGCAAAACATTTGCACAAGAAGTATGAGTGTTGGTGGGAGTGTCATCACTTGTCATTATTGTAACAGGATCACCCCTTCCTAGTTACTTTGTAATTTATCTTTTATTACATTTCACCAGGAGTGCTATTGAGCGGTCTTGTCTTGATGACAAGCACATCTGGGTGTGTAAATGTATATACATATATATAAAACAGTAAACTGTTTTCTGACAAGCACATCTGGGTGTGTAAATGTATATACACTGATATCATGTAGTTGCATAGTTTTGTAGGGCCTTCCAAAACAAGAAAAAGAATTAAAATAGACAGAAAATAGTTCATTAATGACAGAATGAAAAGTTTTTAAGTTTGTCAAGGAGGACATTTGTGCAGGCATACTCTTTGGAAATCCATTTTAAATTTCATGAGAGTATTAGAACTGTATCCAGGTTACTTTATGTGAGCAGTCTAAAACATTCCAAATACAGGCAAATAAAAGGTCAAGCCCACTTGAAAAACATTCACTCATGCAAGTAAAGGCAGAGAGGGCTACTGTGCGTATTGGTACCCAACAGAAGATGAACAACAGTTCTGCTACATCACCTTTTTGTTTGCTCTCCAGTGTTTTTAATTTGGAGCCTTTTTGTCATCCTTTGTAGCTGCAGAATCGTGGAGTTTGGACTAACTGTTTGAGATTTCCAGTTCTCCACACAGCTGCTCCAGTGGAAGATGTCAGTACCCTCAAATGCATTTATAAATATGACCAAAACTGAGGGAGGTGGTATGGTGGTTGTTTGGGTTTTTTTGATAAAATACTATGGAAGCAACAGCTAGGCTGTGGTACCAATACAGCCATTGTGTAAATAGGATCAACTTTTGTTAAGTTTAGAGCAGTTACACAGTGATGGCAAATACCAAAAAGGAATTCACCTGCAAGAAAATGATGCAAAGATAAAAATAATATATTAGCAAATTAATTACAGCAATTTGTGCTGGTATGCATCTCAAATATTTATCTCTCCCATAAAGTCTGTTTAGTTTGTAATCTACTTTGCAGTTGCCCTAATTATTTTAAACCTCTTTGAACTTCCTCCAGTTTGCACCTTTTTGTATGTTTTTTGTTCACGGTTCCTATTTTCACTAGTTCAACACCATTCTCCTCTATCACTGCTATGATTTCATCACTTCCGAGATGTAAGAGAGTTTTCTACAATTCCTGCCACATAAAATTCCTGGTTTACTTTTCACTGCTCTGGTCACCTGTAGACAAACACTGCTTCTGTCTCATCCAGAAAGTCATACTTGCTTTCTGTTTCTGCTAGTTGCTGTTGAACTGTGTAAGTCACTTTGGGATACAGAAAACCAGTGCAATGCTTTATTATCTTCAGGGAGATCCATTAGGATTGTAAACTATAAGAAATTATATGGGCAGATCCAATTTTGTATTTCTCAGATGTAGCAAGAGCAAATTATGTCTTTTCTGAATCCAGCTGATACAAGTCTTCCATCTATTCTGAAGGGGAGCTGCCAAATGACAAAAAACTCCATGAAGACTTAAAATGTGTCAAGGCTTTTTTGACAAAGAAACTGAGGCACAAGCCTATAGTTGTGCAGCAGGTAGGGACAGAGATAGGCATCATGTTTAGTGTGGTACTGACTGAACAAATAACAGTTTTAAGCTCTGTGCCATGAAAATTCTTTTGAAACTGATAGTTTCATTTGTGAGAAAATGGCATGACTTTCTGAGATGTTGTTTCTATATCACTAGAGGCTAGCACAAAGTATTTTGTCTTCAAAGTATGTTTTACCCTTAGGTAAAGTCGATTTGAAAACAATTTCTACTACAGGTGACAGACAGCTAACAAAGATCTTTTTGGAGAAGCATTTCCCAGTACTAAGCCCATCTGTTCCTGAGTGAAGCGTGCCACACAGTGGTGTGCTGATAGTTTTCAGGGTTTGTATTCTAGGTCAGCACAAGTTTGAATTAATTTCTGAAGTGAAAATCAGTAATTTAAGAACATCAAAATGATCATATCAAATTTAGGTTAAGGTACAATATTCTAGACATGTGATGCATAAAATTAATCCACAAGTTGAAAATTAATCTGCACCATTAAATTATACAGTTTACAGCTATTGTACAGTATCCAAATTTGTATTTTTCCTAAGTTACTACTTTTTTTTATTATTCATATGACCATTGAGTTGTGTCTGTTAAAGTGGGTATTCAGTTCTTGTATCAACCACAGAGTCTTGTAATGCCCTCATCAGCCACCAGCAGGAACTGTTGCCTGCAGCAGAACCCTCTGCACTTTGTAAAAATCAGTCTTCTTTGTTGCCTGCAGTCTGCCTTTCAATCCGTTTTAGCCAGCTGTGGTAAGACAGCTGTGGTGCAGAAGGATCCTGCCGTGACACACAGATGATTTAACAACTCTAGAGCATGATGAGAGGATAAGAAAATAAACAACACATGGCACATTTTAGTTGGATGCTTAATGCTCTGCTGTGCTTATATGATTTAGATGAACATGGCACACAAACCTGTGCAAAACACACTATAAGGAAAGATATTCTTATCTCTCTGGTGGCTTCACGTGCCCCTCAATTCCTTAGTATTTTTGCATTGATGAGAACTAAAGAAATTTACAATAACCATAAATCAGAGGACAGACCCAGACATTATTTCTACACTATTATGGTACCTAGATACTACCTTTAGCCCTACATTTTACCATGCTCTCCTTATTTGAATTTGGGAATCACAGTTTTGCATGTTTGAAATTCTGGGGAAAGTTCTTATTTCTTCCTCTATAGATGCTCCAGCACTACTGAAGCATGATTTTGCATCTCCAGCTTTGGGAAAGTTCCAATTTACGACTGGCTTCATTCAGTAGGAACTTTTTATTTATAATCAGGACAGAAGTGCAGCTCTGAACATAGGTCTGTTGGGTTTTTTTGTTTGTCTGTTGGGTTTTTTTCCTTTTATTACTTTAGACTTCTGTCAGTTTTTTGACATCTTTCAGGTTGGCTAGCAGGATCAAGTTGCAGAAGTACAGTTTCCAATCATGTTTCTATTGAGGACTGTGCTGTTCTATGTACATACAAAATCTTTGTTGGTTGTATTCTGATTTGTGCTCCCCTAAATACTGGGACTGACTGGGATTTCTGACTGGGATTGATGCTAAGAAATTTACTATACAGCACATACTCTAGCACACATGAGCATGAATATTTTGTAACTGCTTCTTCAACCTATTATTTAATGTCCCATATTCTTTCAAAAGGAACATCTGATTCCACAAACGTGTTTAATGAGAGGAGCGTGATTCTTAGTGTAGCTTAACATACTCTTTGTGCTCCTCTTTGCAGTGTGTGTGTTTTTTCTTTAGCACCAAGTTCCAGGCCAAACCAGAAGTCACTTTGGATTCACATTCCTCACCTGATGTGTCTCTCAGGCAGAGTTATAATTACAGTACTAAATTACTAGACATTGTCGGGCTACTTGTCAGCATAGCACCTGCAATAAATCAGAAGTGTTGTCATTCAAAGCTTTTATTGTCTGTTCAAGTCTGCAGGGTTTTTACATTTGTTTGCTGAGCAGGGAATGAAGATTGCATAATAGGCTGCCTACTCACTGCACCTTTAGAGGCAAGTTTCGGGCAATACATTAAGATGAGAACAAGGAAACATGTTTTACAAATTTCTAAAACCTCTAGTCTCTTCTGCATTGGGATTTCTATGACCTACTTCTTAAATAAATCTCGTACTTGCCAGTTTGGGCCAATGACTTATGTACTATGTATGTCTGGAGAGTGAATGGCCATTGTGTACCTCAGAAGTCTGACTTGTAAATAACCCAAAAGACTAAATTCTGTTAATAAGAGGAGATGGTTAAGTGTAGATTAGAAGCAAAGTTCAATATGAGCTTGTCCCAGTAAGACCTAGTCT